GTTTGTGCTCAGCTGCCCTAAAGATATAATTTTAATTGGTTTATATTAGCACTAGGTATACATTTAAGGCTCAATAAATGTTAAATGAACTATTAGGATTTCACTGGATATGAACCACAAGATGGAAATGAAAGATTTTCACCATTTCTGGTCATTATTCACCCAAGTTTACCTTTTCTTTCTCTGTAACTCAGCAACCTTCCCATTATCCAGGCACCTGGCAGAGCTACTGTTGTTAAATTTCTGACAGCTTTTTCATTACAGGCCGTGTTTTTCAAGAGGCAGGTTAACTAAGCGATTTTGATTTGTGCCAAGCTGAGATGTGGAATAGGCACTTCAAGTCCATTCTCCTGTTTTCATAAGATTTTATTTGAAGTTATTTGTCCAACTTTGATCTAAAAAATACTAAGAAAAAACTAAAATTCACCCATTTTTTCATTCATGATTACTATAACTGAGGAAAAGGATGATAAATTCTGTTGTAGCTCTGCTTTTTTTTTCTTTATAAACCCAAGGCTTTTAAAAAATTAACATGACACACTTCATACTTTTCAGAGTTATTATTTTATTCAGAAACATATTAACAGCCAATTGTTTTACTTACATGAGATAGGGTAAGACCTTTTCACTTTGTAAAACATGAACCAAATGCTATAATTTGTATTTATGTTAAACATGTGACATACTCGTGTCAAAACACTATTTTTTATCTCTTAACCAAGGACTCATCTCTACTGTAGAAAACATGAAAAATGCAGATGAGAAGAAACATTTAAAATCAACCAACCCAGTAAGATCATATTGGATTTCATTCTCTTTTTATGTCTACTCATTCTTCCTTGAAGTTTTAGAAACTTCTGGAAAGTATTCCCGACTACCTCTCTACCCCTTCTACATACAGTTACCATGCTCTAATCAGTTTTACCTGGTATTTCCATATTCTTTCCATCTACTTCACACACGACTCCATGTGGTTTAGCATCCACCCAGTTTACTATACTAAAATGTTTCTCTCAAAATTTCCAGTAAACTTCCTTATCATTGTCCAAGTACCACTATCTCCATGTCTTTCTTGTCCACTACAATTTGCTTTGTGTTTGAAAATGTCCTCACCTGGGTTCCACAATGCTACCTAATGTTTTTGTTCTCTTCTTACCTTTGCAACTATTCACTGTCTCTTGCCTTTAATTTATCTCATTATTCATTGAGTTTGGTGTATAGGTTAAATTGCTTTCACTTGTAAACGGTAGAATAACCAAGTAACAATGGCATAAACAACAGGATATTTATTAATTATTTAACAAGAAGTCCAGAGGTTGGAAGTCCTAAGGCTGGTTTGGTGACTCAAATAGGAACTCAAGGATCTAGGTTCTTTGCATCCCTCTATTGTCATTGTCTGTCTTCTAGCAATGTCTTGTCTCTTACTCAGAAGGTTGGCTGTGTAGCTCTAAGAAGGCAGGAGGCTGATGCAAAATGACCCTTCTGCTCCTTTAATCAGTGAAAACACTTTTTTTTTCCCCCCAGAAATCTTCATAAATCACATTGACTAGAAATGGGTCTTACACCCACTCCTACACCATTTAATGGAATAGGGTAAAGTGCTAATTGTGATTCATCCCTTGGTGGTGAGCACAATGCCCCCTGACATAATCAGTCTTAGAGAAGCGAAAAAGAAATAGTGATGACTGTGGGATATGTGACTGACAGGGGCTGCTCGACTTGTCTGTCACCTATAGCTGCTCCTCAAGACTACGTCTTTTATTCTCTACAACTCAAAGTCTCTGAGGTTCCATTCATGTGATGCCCAGAAAGGGCTGTTGTGAAAACCAGTTGGGATGTGAAAGTACTGTATAAACGGGAGTTGTATTGGCTTATTAAGCATACCATATTTTCCTAATGAGATGCAAGCTTTTTTTTGTTGTTGTTGTTGTTTTTTGTTTTGTTTTTTTGAGACAGGGTCTCACTCTTTCTCCCAGGCTGGAGTGCAGGGACGCGATCTCGGCTCTCTGCTACCTCCACCTCCAGGGTTCAAAGGATTCTCCTGCTTCAGCCTCCCAAGTAGCTGGGACTGCAGGCATGTACCATCACACCCAACAATTTTTTGTATTTTTAGTAGAGAACGGGATTCACCATGTTGGCCAGCCTGGTCTCTAACTCCTAAGCTCAGGCAAGCCACCCTCCTTGGCGTCCCAAAGTGGTAGGATTACAGGCGTGAGCCACCACACTCAACAGAGACACAATCTTAAAATAAATATTTAGTAATTCTTCTTGTGTATTGAACCAAGCACCAACTCATGCCAATCCTTTCCTCAGACTCTATCTACATCTTTCCATTTTTCATTGTCCTATTCTAGGTATCCATTTTCCTCATGCTATTTGTTTGCTTACTTTTTTTTTTTTTTTTGAGACGGAGACTTGTCCTCGTTGCCAAGTCTAGAGCGCAATGGCGCCATCTCAGCTCACCGCAATGGCGCCATCTCAGCTCACCGCAACCTCTGCCTCCCAGGTTCAAGTGATTCTCCTGCCTCAGCCTCCCGGGGAGCCGAGATTACAGGCATGTGCCAGCACGTCCAGTTAATTTTGTATCTTCAGTAGAGACGGGGTTTCTCCATGTTGGTCAAGGTCGTGTCAAACTCCCTACCTCAGGTGATCTGCCTGCCTCGGCCTCCCAAAGTGCTGGGATTATAGGCATGAGCCACCGCGCCTGGCCTTGTTTGCTTCCTCTTGTATGACATTTATCCATGTTCTTTTTTCCTACTACACACAATATAAATACTACAGCTAGGGTTCCAGCCATTAGCTGACCTTTTTGTCTAAACCAGATGCCTACTCCTCCACATGACCTCTCTCCTGTCTGGTCAGACCTCTTCCAGGAACTTCCATAACATTCCATTCTCATTCCAATACCTTGTCTAGGCTCCTGCTGTGGCTCTCAATGTTAACTGGAATGTTTAACTTTGTCTCTTACACCACTGCAAACAGTGTGACATTACTCAACAAATGGACCAGGCAGGGTTAAGGTCACCAGTAAAGCAAGTTATCTAATTCTTTGGTCTGACTTGAGTTCAGAAACCTACACTAAACTATTTGACTCTCCTGATGGAATTAAACTCATCTATTTATGCTTAGTCATTCTTTTCATATAGTATCTTTGCCACAAATTCTAAGATCATTTTATAAGTATAGGGACTGCGTACAAGAGTCTAGTGCTATATAGCAGCATTGAGTGCTGATTCAATACTTAACAATGAGCTGATCTTCAAATAATTTAAAACCACATATACTATGCTTTTACCCATTCTTCCTATGCCTCCATTTAAAAAAATGAATTATCTGCTATACTGAGTCAGGGTAAATTACAATGAGTTCCAGGATAAGATGGTAGAATAGGAGGTGTGTGTTTTTACCCCCTTCCTCTGGAGTGCATAATGCTTGACTATGATACAAAGAGAAGTTTGAAGGAAGTCACGTTGTCAAATATCCCAGAAGTAATGACTTGACTACAATTCCTGATCCTATCTACCTCACCGTTTGTCCACAAACATACTAGAATATATTTTATCTTGATTTCCGTGTTGAGGGAAAGTAAGTTCAGTGATTTAAGATCTGCCAGTTAGCAGAAATATTGTGAAAGCAAACAATTGCGCTAAAATTTTAAGAGGAAAGAAGTTAAGTGTGTTGCCTTTTCGGAAAGATTTAGCTATGGATTTTTTTTTTTTTTTTGGTTTTGTTTTGTTTTGCCCTATGAGTTAGAAGAAGACAAAGTGGCTCTGTAAATAAGTCGACTTCATTTTTAAAGCGTTTGAGGTTAAATGAGGTTGAATCTTGAGAGTCTTTTTGTTGGTTAGGAGAGGAGGAATTTATTATAAAGAGAGGAAGACAATGTTGCTAATGTGATGGTAATGACAAATTGAATGATTTAAACTTCCTGAGTCATTCTGGTCATTCACACCATCATCAGGAAAACATCTTCACGTTTAGCTTCATACATGAGCTCCACAAAACTGGGCATTACCTTCTAGTAGTTTCTGAATAATGTGCTGACCTATGATACATATAGCCACGTAAGTGAATAAACACTATTATTATTTTGTCTTGGTTTTCATTAAACTATCTTAGTAGTTTCAGGAGCTCTGAGTTTCAACACACACTTCTGCCAGCTGACTTCAGTGCGTCCATTAGCATAACAAAGTCAATTAGGCAAACCTGAATTTTCACTTTTGTCCTGTTCACAGAACATCAGTGTAAATGGAGACAGGAAGAAGAAATTGGATTGATTCTCCACTTGAGAATTACGTTAACTTGGAAGAAAATGTTAGTCTACTATGCGAAGGCATCTGGTAAGAGGGAAGATATCACCTCCCTTCCCCCATTGTGTCCCTTTATGCACCTCTGACCCTTGTTCTCTCCTTTTTTTGTTGCTTCTGTGGTCTGGTTGTTAGCTTTCCTGATCCTCCACACATTAGAAACCTAAGCATAATGATTTCTGATCTAAGGCTATGGAATATTTGAAATAAGAAAAGGGGAAATTGTTGAGTCTAGAACCAAACCTTTTGAAATAAAGAAGTACCGGTCTGTAATGTGTGCCTTTAGAAAAAAACAAAGTCAAACAGAAACTAGGTAACTAGTTACAGTCGTGATTGTGCTCTGCCACCCTGGAACTCCCGTATGTGACTATTTCCACTCTGGCTTTGTGTTTCAGTAGGTCAGGGACATACATTAAGAGCAACAATTGGAACTGCGTTCTCCTTTACCTCCATAAAAACACAGCTTAATAACGTGTTAATGACTTAAAATTACCTTGTCTTTCTAGATTGCTTATTGATGTCATTTCAGATCGGTATAAAGGATGTGAAGCGAATGAGAAAATAGGAACGTTTCTTTTTCTTTTTTTCCCCTTTCTACCGACTAGGAAGAGATCCAGTCCAGGTTTTGCCTTTGACTCGGCCTGTGAATTTCGGCCGTGCAATGTGTAGCACGTTTCTTTCTCCCCCCTCCTTTCTCCTTCCCTCTTGCCTCCAGTGTCTGTCTCCAGGATTTCTCTCTTCCGATTTCAGGAGGACTCTCACAGGCTCTCACAGCCTGTGTTAAGCTGAGGTTTCCCCTAGATCTCGTATATCCCCAACACATACCTCCACGCACACACATCCCCAAGAACCTCGCGCTCACACCAACAGACACACGCGCGCACACACACTCGCTCTCGCTTGTCCGTCTCCCTCCCGGGAGAGCCGGCGCGCGTTCCCACCTTCGCCGCACACTCCGGCGAGCCGAGCCCGCAGCGCTCCAGGATTCTGCGGCCGGGAACTCGGATTGCAGCTCTGAGCCCCCATGGTGTTTTTTTAAACACTTCTCTTCCTTCTCTTCCTCGTTTTGATTGCACCGTTTCGATCTGGGGGCTAGAGGAGCAAGGCAAGCAGCCTTCCCAGCCAGCCCTTGTTGGCTTGCCATCCTCCATCTGGCTTATAAAAGTTTGCTGAGCGCAGTCCAGAGGGCTGCGCTGCTCGTCCCCTCGGCTGGCGGAAGGGGGTGACGCTGGGCAGCGACGAGGAGCGCGTCGCTGCCTCTGGCGGGCTTTCGGCTTGAGGGGCAAGGTGAAGAGCGCACCGGCCGTGGGGTTTACCGAGCTGGATTTGTATGTTGCACCATGCCTTCTTGGATCGGGGCTGTGATTCTTCCCCTCTTGGGGTTGCTGCTGTCCCTCGCGGCCGGGGCGGATGTGAAGGCTCGGAGCTGCGGAGAGGTCCGCCAGGCGTACGGTGCCAAGGGATTCAGCCTGGCGGACATCCCCTACCAGGAGATCGCAGGTAAGCGCGGGCGCGCGGCAAGGGCTGGCTGCAGCCCTCGGTTGCCGCACGTCCCCCTGGCTGCCCGGCGCCCCCTTCCTTCCCCCTGTTGCTGAGTTGGTGCCCACTTTCTGCCACCGCTCTACAGGACTCCGCGTCTCCGAGCTGGGCTGCGGATGCTCCTGCGGCTTCTCCGGCGGGGGAAGGTGTGCGTCTCCGCTGCCTCATTGTGTGCACACGCGGGAGCACCCTCGCTCCCGCCTGCCTCTGCTCTCGCGCCCTTCTACCCCTTAGTTGATGGCTCAGGCCAGGCCGGCCAGGGAGCCCGGGCCACTCCGGGGCGGCTGCAAGGCGCAGACGGAGAGCCGAGCCGGGCGCTCACCCCGCGCTCTGGTTCGGGCAAACTTGGAAGAACTGCCACCGCAGTTTGCCCAGCGCCACAGTCTGAGTGGCGCCTTCTCCACTCCCGTCCTCGCGCCGGCAGGGGCGGTGGAGAGACGCAGAGGGCTCCCCCAGCCCCTCTCTCCCCTCTTCCTGTCCTCCGGGGGGCAGAGCGCAGGGCGCCCGGGCCGGGGGCGGGCAAGGCTGGGAGGGACCCTCGCCGGGGACCTGGCCTCCGGACGCCGGCATTTCAAGGCTGGTTTGGGGACTTCACGGGCTGCCTGTTTCAGATGTGGGGCGGGCTTTCCCGTTACGGTTCCTCAGTGCTTCTCCAGTTGCTGTTGGTCACTCAGGGCTCGGGGACACCCCGCCACCCGATCCGGAGCCGGCCTCGTCTGCCAGCGAGCAGTCAACTTCAGCCGGTGGCTCAGCTGGGGATTCGGGTCCGGGTCTGGGGGCCCCGTGTCCCCCGCATGCCCGGCCACTGGCATTGCTCCACCAAGAGCTTGAGAGCGCCCACCCTTTCGCTCGGCGCCAGTGTGTGTAGCACTTGGTCTCCGACAACTTGCTCGGCAGTCTGGGTGCTTGTTTTCCGGCTCTTAGCTCCAACCGAATCCGAGCTTCTCTGGGGCTCTGTGAATGAAACGTGTCGGGAAGAGATAATCCTTTGGCTGCTAAAGAACAGAACTGAGAGAGGCCGAGGGAGGCCAGGAGATGCTGCGAGGGCGCGGGCTGCTCAAACCGGGTAGCTGAAGTCCTTAGTAACCTCAGATCGTCAAGTCAAAACGCTGAATTTCCATCAGCCTCTCTCTGCTTTTTGCCAAGTAGCTGGTGGATGGATGAAAAGCATTTTGCGGATATCTTAGAACATCACAGTTTCGATATGTTGTGGAATTGCTGTTTTCTTATGATTTTCAAGCTGTAGAAGTGAGAGTTTTTACTTACACTGAAATGAACACATTTAAATAAATTTGAGCATTGCCAAAGGGGAAAAAAAAGAGGCGCAAATTACCAAACGCATAGAAGGAGCTTTTTCAATTCAGAGCCAGACATTCCCTTTGGTGAGTCTAAGGAAGAATCTGTGGTGAATTATAAGACTACTTTTCTATCCTTGTTACTTCTTCCTTCTTTTCCAGAACTCCTTAATTTGTTAATCAATTAATCGAGAGCGACTGTCCTCACAGCTCCTTAAGTTTCTTAACTCTCCTTCTCCTTTGTCTACTGTTATTTCATTCTTTTTAATTAATTGATAAGGATCAACTTCGCTTCTTTTCCCTCCCCAAATCTCAGGGAATTCAACTTTTTAAAAGGTTTGTAGTATGGATCACTTCTAGAAACTTTTTCTCCTTTAATCTGAGCTTTTTCAAACGGTATCTTTTAAGCACACAGATGTTTTCCAACATGATTTCAGATAAGATATCTCAAAGAAGAAAATAGGTGTTTTTAAATTGCTTCGGTATTCTTTAGCGGATAATGGGACACTCAGGAGACTAGAGTTCATCCTCAGCATCAGGCACATCTCCTTAATATCAAAGTGAAGATTTTCAGTGTAAAACAATTTCTGTAGTCACCATGACTGTTTGTTGAGGACATTCCCAGGGGTTCATGTAAATTCTTCAGTGGATATTTAAAGAGGTTTTTGTTTTTGGTTTTGGTTTTTTGTCTACTCCCCACCTTTTTACAATTACAGTGTTTGCTTATTAGCTATGAATTTCTAAAATGTGTGCACTTTTTTTTTAAACTCACCTGCTTTCCATGAGTAAGGGCACACTGTTAACTTTGCTTTAAGCCTTGTGTCCTTTGATGCTGGTAGACATAAATCAAGATGCAGGTCACCACAGGGTCAGAGGCACATTTAATAGGAAAATAATGAATTGAAAGATAATTGTGTTTTTTAAGGATATACTTGTTTTTTTCAAAATCAACTTTACTTAATGCTACCTATTGCTGTTTTAAGAATCACTTAGGAAATATATCCTGTTGTTACATGAACACACTCTATCTCTCCTCCCTAGTTCTTGATACTGTTTACGTTTAATTATCTAGTGTAAGTGGTTATCTTTTCTTAAACTCTTTTTTTATCCTTTGCCTTGATTGGGCATCTAATGGTTTGCTTGAGGAATTTCATGTGTCTTCAATATGCCAGGGCACATAAATTTAAAAGAATTGCTGTTCAGGCTGCAGATTCATGACAGCTGTTTCTAATTGAAAGCTATTTGCAGGTAGCTTGCTTAGTGAAATAACTTGAGAAGTAATAAGGACATTATGCTTCATCATGACATTATCAAAGTTTTACTCAGAACTCACAATTGTGAAATAGCGTTGCCCTTTTCTATTCTAGGGTAGAATAGACACCCAACAGATGAGGAAGTATGATAGGGAATATATAAAGTTATACTTTCAGAGAATGCTTGGGAAGGAGGAGGCCTTCAAGGGGCAGTTTGCACCATCAGTCTTCACTCAGCGCTGATTTTAAACTATCACAAGGAGATCAGATAGACTCTATTTATCCTTGTTTGAAAAACTTCCAAAGGGGTAGACTCTTGATCCCCTTTCAGCAATCCATTCTAATATTTAGCAATTCTTGTGGTATAGAAATGTTTCCAGATATCTAGCCAAAAGCCTTCACAATGTGCTTGCTTATTTTTTCTTGTTCTATCTTCTGGGAAGATATTGAGCATGAATCATCAGGTTCTTTGTTAGGACAGTTATTCTGATCAAAGGTCAGTGTGAAACATTCTAGTCTCTCCTCATTCATCAGAATTATGACCTAATTTTCCAATCCTAAACTCTAAACTTCTAAAGGAACTCTACCCAAAAATAGCACCTGCTTAAAACTCCGGGAAATTCAGATAATGTTGTTTCAGGCTTACTCTGCCACTGTTTTATGCCTTGAGTCTTGCTAGGATCATTAATTATAACACTTTGTAGTTAACAGTGACTTATTGGCCTACATGATCATGTTTTCATTACTTATGTAATGTGACTTTATTTAACAATCTCATATATAGAATTTATTATGTGCCCATCACCTACTTAAAAATTATTACCTTTATAATACCACCTTACTGAATTCTTCCAATAACTTAGTAGATGCTACACATTAACCCCATTTTATAGATGAAAAGGATGTGTGACAGGAACTTTAATTAACTTACCTAAGGGTGACTCAACTAGTAATTAATGAGGCTGCAATTCAAACCCAGGCATTCTGACTCCAGGGTCTATATACCTAACTTGGTCCACTGCCTTACAGTATTAAATGTTACCATTTATTTTGAATGAATGCATGCAAAATCTATTCTTTCATATATATATATAGTCTGGTATTATTAATCACTATATGCATCTATGTATCCCTTCCAGTTGCGCATGCTAAATCCGTTTCTGTTTTGTTCCAGCGTCGTCTCTAATTTCTCAAAATCACTTTGACTTTGGATGTCGTATTCTCAGGAATTGGCCATGCTACCACCACTAATGGTGCATGCATTTACCCATTTTCCTGATCATTTTTTTGCAAGGTATAGTTATGTAAAACATAGAAACTAAAGTACATTTCTTGGTTTCTTTCAGTACACTAGGCCTATTGAAAGACTGGGTTAGTCCAACAAAACTCATGATGGAAAATTATTCATGGGGCTAGAGGGAGTAGGAACATTTATCTCCACTGATTAGAAAAAAAAAATGTAACTAACTCTGTTTCCAATATTTATTTTGCAACTTTTTCTGTCCCAGGTATTTTGAGAGTTGGGTTACAGCTGGATATTAAAAAAGCACTAAACTCTTCATCTATTTGATATTAATTTATCAAGTATTTATCTAAAAATCTGTATTTTAAAAAGATTGTTTGTTTCAAAATACATAATGTTTCATTTTCACTGACCTTTGCCCAATGGGCGTTTGCTTTCTCTGGAAACCTTTCTTTCTGTCTGCTCCCCCAGCAGACCAACTAATTTAGTACATTTACAATTTACACAACTTTTTTTTTTCCAGTTTCCATGGAGATACCACATTAACTTAAATGGAAAACAGTGTTTGGTAACTCTTACTCTTTAAAGCCACAGTAAATATCATAGTTTGAGATAAATTGTTTAATTTCTGTTTATCTGCCTGCTTCAAAGATTTCTGATTTCTTTGCCCCTGTTTAGTTAGCTGACTTCTTTAAAAGTTTTTGGAAGGACAGTATAAGTCACAAATGAGTGAAGTGAACTTCAGTTTTTTTTTTTTTTTTTTAAATGATTCTACAAGTCACTAGATTTCTAAAAGAATCACATTAATTCCAGGTATCAAAGCAATATAAAAGTTGGGCTTTAGAAGTGCCACTTGTTAAACTCTTGATTTGGGAATTAATTTTAGAGTGATTGTGAGTTATCTTAGCTGATTTAATTAGAGGATAATATGTCATCATTGGGAGCAAGAGTTCATTTGAGTTGACTGATACACTTTTTTACATAAAATTTCTTACAACTGCATTGTATCTTAATAATAGCTTGTGAGAAGAAATAAAGGCCACTGTTAAAATTGATTTAAAATGTACAGCATTATGTTCTTTCAGTATTATGGCATAAAAATTGTGCCATATATTATGTAAGAAAGTGACTAGTGTTCTTTTAAAATTATGGATGAAACTTATGAACACT